GTATCTGTGCTGCGACTGACTCGTTCCAGCATAGGTGCATGATCAAAGGCGGACGTGCGTGCAATCCTTTTGCATACATTAGCGACCCAGCGACCGGTCGACGACTGGCACAACACTGGTTGGGGTCCTTCCCCACATTCGGATCGGACTGCAACAACACTGGTGGCCCCCACTGATGGAGGGAATTTCTAGTTATCTCTGACTCGACTGCTGAGGGGCAGATTCGAGCATCCATCTTCTACTCTACTTGCTTTGCTCCGCTATCGAATGTGTCTCAATACCGATACAATACGAACCAATCATCTCGACTGTTCTACACTCCATGATTCATAACATGTTACACAATATCAATCTACACTACGACAGTCCTGCCATGATGGCCCATAAGCAAATCTACTCAGATCAAGCTGCAATCCACTATTGGGAATTACGGAGGTGTTTCCCGGGTAATACATAGTATTCCGAGAATCGACTGGGACCCAGAAAAGCAGCTCACCATTGGAGCCGACCACCCAACCCTCATCATTGGGATATGGCGAAAACGTTGAATGACCCTGCAGATATGGGAATGGAGGACCAAGAACATGGGAAGGATTAGATGAGAAACACATTGTACGATGGCCAAGAAAGCCGATAGTAGATGAGGGGGTCTTGAGATTATATAGAGGCATATGGACAGCTACAGTACAATTATCAGCACCAAAATGCGCACAAAGAAAGCAACACGTACTGCCCCGCACGTCATTCACCATGACCGAGGGGTCCAACAATGAAGATGAAGGATACCTGCCGTTGTGAGAGATCAAGACAGAGTCAGCAATTCCCGAAGGCGCCGTCTGAGATTGCTCTGATTGCAGCCATGGTTCTGCATCCCACACCCGGATCGTCTTGTCAGCTGATACGGACAAAATCCGTCGACCATCGCCTGAGATTGCGACAGACACAACCTCTGTATGCCCCTCGAGAGGCGGGCCCAATTGCTGGCATGTCTCTGCATCCCACACACGGATCGTCCAGTCATCTGATGCGGACACAATCCATCGACCATCGTGCGAGATTGCAACAGATATGACAGTTTCTGTATGCCCCTCAAGAGGCTCGCCATGTTGCTGGCCTGTCTCCCCATTCCACACCCGGATTGTCGTATCACTTGATCCGGACACAAGCCGTCGGCCATCGTGCGAGATTGCGACAGACGTGACAATGTTTGTATGCCCCTCAAGAGGCGGGCCTAACTGCTGGCCTGTCTCTCCATCCCAGACCCGAATCGTCTCGTCACACGATGCGGACACAATCCGTCGGCCATCGTGCGAGATTGCGACAGACGTGACAATGTCTGTATGCCCCTCAAGAGGCGAGCCCAATTGCC